TTTTATCTGTGTCCTCTCTAGATTTATTAATCATGTCTTGCACCATGAGCAAAATCTTTGCTGTTATCTGAGTAATTATTTCTGGTTTCATTTTTCCCAGATCCTCTTTTGTTGCCAGTTCAGAGAGTCCAGGTTGTTTAGTGTCAGATTGTTCCATCTCGTTTCCCTTTGGGGTTGTTGTAGGTGATCCAGAAGTCTGTTTTTGAGGCTTTTTTATGTGTCTTCTCATTTCCACGGGGTGGGGGGGGATTGCTTCTGGCACCCACACGGCTCACCTTCTCTGCCCTAGGAGCTTGGGATGGTGGTGGGGGAGCTTCCTTCTGGGTGCTGGGACCGACTGAGCTTCTCTGCCCTAGGAGCCTGGGATGGAGGTGGGGAGCTTCCAGGAAACAGATTTTAGATATGCTTATATGGAGGAAGTTTTAGCAAGCATAATTTGAGAAGTTAATTTGCTCCAGGGTTTGCATTTACTTTTGCAGAAAGCAAGGATATATTAAACAGATTTTGCTGGTATAAAAATGTTCTCCAGGGCCAGGTATTTAGCTCAGTGGTTCCACCGCCTGCCCCACAAGCACAAGTACCTGAGTTCGATCCCTGGTACCAAAAAAAATGTTCTCCATAAGTAATTATTAGAAAATATATTTGTACCATAAATATTTGAGGAGATAGATATGTTAGCCTCATCTAAATATTACACAATGTGTTCATGTATAAAAATATCACATGGTACTGCATTAATATGTTTAATGTTTATTTTTATGTATCAGTTAAACTTTTTTTAAATTAAAAAGATAAATATATTTATATCATAAGTAAGTACCATAAAGTAGACCTAATACAATACTTGGTACTTGGTATGGTGAAAGTTTTGATTCAAATAGAGTGGTATATTTAGTTTCAGTTTATTTATCTATCTCCCTCCAGTTTATTTAGAGTTTCAGTTTAATTTGAAGAGCATAGAGAAGTATCAGACATCCTACCATCCCACACAAAAGTTAATTCACAGTAAATAATAAAGCTTAGTTCTCTTCAAATACATAAAGGCTGCTTATACTGTAATACCAAGATAGTGATTAGATTAAAATAAATATTTATTAAAATAAATAAAAAATAAATTTAAAAATTCAAATAAAAAGATTAAAAGGACAAAGAAGAAAATAGAATGAGGGCCCGGGGATTTAGGTCAGTGGTTTCACTACCTGCTGCACAAGCACAAGGACCTGAGTTTGATCCCCTGTACCAAAAAAAAAAAAAAAAAAGAAAATAGAATGGACTTTAAAATATGTATCTTACTAAAGTGAGAAAATAGTAACTCGAGTCATTTTTCTGTGTTCCGTGATTGAGATGGAGAATGTCAGTTAAAGACTGTTGAGGCTCTAAATAAATGTGTATTTTTAAATTTATTTGCATGTTTGCAGTATTCTAAATAAATCTTTGAAAAAATTGTTAGCAAGTTGTCCCATCAATTGAATAAGCCTACATCACAGAATTGTGAGGATAAAGTGATATAACGGGAGTAAAATGTTAAGGATATTACTTGTCGTATGGTAAACAAGATAAATGTTAGCAGTGATTAATTTTTATTAATTTTTTTCTAATTGAGTATATTTGAAGATTTTCTTTCCTGGGCTAGTACAAATTTTATTGTATAAATACTTCTGGCTAGGTATCGTGGATTAATTTTCTACCCTCTTGACTTCTGTTACTGGTCTTTTTTTCCAGATATTAAACTTTTTTGACTTCCAAATGAATTTTAGTATCATTTTGTAAAGTTCCAAGAAGAATCTCAGTGGGATTTTTATTGGAACTACATTAAGCCAATTTTTTTTAAAAAAAGGAATATTTGCAATTTTTATATTACCATCAAAGAACATAGTTTGGTTTTTCTACTTCTTCAAGAGATTTTCTCTTATGTTGTTTATCAGCATTTTAGTAGTGTTTCTTCATAGAGGGCAAAATTATATTATTTCCAGATTTTTAAATATTTTTGTCGCTATTATAAGTGGCATCATTATATCTTTTAAGTATAGGTGACATTTTGAAGTTCTTTAAATTTTTAAAATACATCTTAAGATACCACTTTTTTCTTTTTAATATTAATGTTTGCTTCATATTCTGTTAGATTGAACTTTAGAAACACTGCTAAGTAACTGATATGTGGCCTTCTTAGCTTGGTCTTATTTTGGTAGGATTGCCCATCATATTTTAAATGTAATATTTACTATTGGTTTAAAATGTACTACTATTCAAGTCTTTATAGAATTATTATAGTAGTATATGCTCATTGGAAAAAAATAGAAACTATTAAAATATAATGGAGCAAGTATCAGTGTATTTGTATATTTTAAGCTTTTTCAAATTAATATTGTGTTGGATTTTATCACATCACTTTTATTTTGTACTGATAAAATTTAACTTGCTATGTAGTTTATTGATGTAATTATCCTAACAGATATCCTAGGATTTAAACATCCATGGGACAAATACTACTTTGTCATGGATGATAATCCTTTTGATTTGCTGTAGTAAAAGGGATGAATTAGGATCTTAGAATCAAAGCAGTTTGGATTTGTATTTGTTTTTGCCCTTTTAACTGAATGACCTTGGTAAAATTTTGTTAACTCTTTTGAATATTGTTTTATTTATAGTCTAATGCCTTTTCCTGTCCCTTTAATTTTATATAAAATTATCTCAACCTTTCCTCTTTCACCTAGCCTCCCTCCAAGCTGCACAGTTTTACAGGTAGGGGAAATCCACAGTCCTCCACAAGATAATGTAGAAATCTTTTCTCATTAACATTTCTTCTTCTGAACCTTTTCCATCCTTGCTACTTGTCTTTCTCATCTCTTTGACCTGGTATAGCATTAAGTCCCTTTATTTTCATGTGCACAAGCAAAAGCTCCACTGGGGTGAAATTTGTGATTTTAGTAGACTGTAGCAAAATTGGGAAAACTAAGGTACAGCAATAGTATCACTGTTCTTAATATGTTTTTTAGCCCCTGCACTCTTGGATTTTCTTGGCCCTTCACCCCACGTTGATCTACTTCTCTGTCCTCATCATTTCATCATCTTACTTACCATTACTGATGTACTTTCCTTCCCATTAAAGTTAGAGCTCTCTCCTTGTTTCATTCAGAGCACTTAAAACTTCTGGATCTTTGGCTCAAAACATTATGCCCTTGTTCTTGGGGAATCACTTTTAAATATTCCAAATTCATTGTCAGAACAGAGACACTTTCCTTCCTAAGAGAAGTTCTGTTCTGTTAACTTTTTTCTCCCTATTTTACTTTTTAGGATTGTGTAGTATGCAGGTCAGTGTACATTTTGGTAATAGAGAGATTTCTCTCTTTTCCCTCTTCATCACTCCAGCTGCTTAACTCACGTTAACATAATCTTGCATCTAAATCAATTTGTGACATGTGGTTCACAGTATCTCTTTTTATTTCATAAAATTAGTTCTTGTAGTTTTGTTTCAAGAAATGATTTAAAATTGAAGTTTTGAGCCAGGGATTTAGCTCAGTGGCACCGCACCTGCCTGGCAAGAGCAAGGTCCTGAGTTTGATCCCTGGTACCCCCAACCCCCCATTGAAGTTTCATGTCTTAAAAAGCTTAGTTTTTTATTGTTTTGCAGAAAATTGTTAAAAGCCAGTATGGCTACAGGAGGTGGACCTTTTGAAGAAGGCATGAATGATCAGGGTTTACCAAACTGGAGCAGTGATACTGTTGATGACCGACTCAACAATATGGTATAGTATCTTACTCTTGATGGTGTATTGTTGACTGCTAATGTTAAGTGCAGCTTTCTTCTCACCAAATCTAACTTACTGAAGCTTTTTTTTTATTCATTAAGTTTATTGGTACATTTTATGTATACAATATGATGACACTCATCATTGGGAAGTTGTACCTGTACATGTTGTATCATGATTCTTATTTTTTCCTCATTCCCCTGCCCTCCCTTCCACCCCTCTGCCCTTCTTTATTTACAAAGACTTTGTTTCTGTTTTTTCCTTTTCTCATATTTTTTCCTTTCCCTTCTTCCCCTCCTTCCCCAACTTACTGAAACTTTTTGTAAACACGGCTAGCTCATAGAATAAGGGACCTTGGGCTGTTGATTACTAGTTAAGACATTTTGATTTCCAGCTAACAGAAATCAGCTTGAGTTAGTTTAAACCAAAAAAGGAAATTTATTGTAAGGATCTAAAGGTGTTTTGTGGAAACTGTGATAAAGGGTTTTAGGGAGGGACTGAAAAAAGGACCTAGAAAGTTGTCAAAAAGTATTATTTCACTACCCTGACTGCTTCCCAATGCCTCTGTGTACCACAACTATCTCTTCACAGGCCAGCTTTTTCTCCCGTTCTGGTACATGTGATTGGTATATGTGGATGCCCTATTATTCTAAAGTTTTCAGTTATAGCTGCAATTATATACTGACTAGCTATCTTATAGTTCCAAATTGAAAATTTAAAATATTACCCTAATTTTCATGAGAGATGCGTTTTGTTTTTTTTTCCAGTCATCTTTGGCCAGGAAAGGGCAAGGTAAATAGTATTTAAATTTGACAGGAACACTCACATGTGGATTGGGAAGGCAGGGCAGTTCATAGAGAAATGAGTTTTGTTACAAATAAGGAAAATATCCCAAATGGTTTTATTAAAATAGTAACTAAAAGATCTTCCAGTAGGAATAAAGTAGGAATTTATAGATGTTTTAGTGAATGAATTAAGTTAGGTGGGTGTGATTAAGTAATATGTTTTCTAAAGTATTAAGCATTTTTTGTCATTCTGTATTGGATATTATCATGTAGTGCTTTTTTTTTTGTACCAGGGATCGAACTCAGGACTTTGTGAGGCAGGTGGCAGCACCACTGAGCTAAATCCCTGGCCCCATGTAGTACATTTTTGCCTATAAAAAATAGTAGTTACAATTATTGCTTATTAAATGCTAGGTACTGTGCTAGATGTTTGTGTATGTTATTTTTAATCCTACTTTAAAGAACACTAATTTAGAGATTAGGAAATTGAGACTTTGGGAAGTTAGATAAATTGCCTGTGGTCACACAATGGTGTGTTTCTTCAGAAAATAGTAATTACTTTAGTTCTCAAGCCAATTCCAGATCTTCTTTTCATCATACATACTGACTTTAAAGGAGGCCAGTAAATAATTTACTTTACCGTTTAATTTATAAATAGAAAAAACAAATTTTTAAAAGTACATTGAGAATATGTAGATTGATTCTAAGGTTGGGATTTGGGAATTATTTGTTACTTATCTGTGTAATAGGAAATTATTCTGTTTTCTGAAGGATTGGGTGTGACATTAGGATAGATGTAATGAAGAGAAAAATGGTTACTATAGATGTCTTTAAGGATGTATTTTTGTGTAAAAAGTGTCTTGTCATTTTAATCTTAAGATGAACAGTTAAATATTGATCAATTTTTTAAGCATAGCAAACTTTTTTTCCTAGTTCAATAGAGGGTAGATTAACTTTGCTTTTCCTTTTTTTAAAGGATTGGGGTGGCCAACAGAAGAAGGCAAATAGATCATCAGAAAAGAATAAGAAAAAGTTTGGTGTAGAAAGTGATAAAAGAGTAACTAATGATATTTCTCCGGAATCATCACCAGGAGTTGGAAGGCGAAGAACAAAGACTCCACATACATTTCCACATAGTAGATATATGACTCAGATGTCTGTCCCAGAGCAGGCAGAATTAGAGAAACTTAAACAGCGGATAAACTTCAGTGATTTAGATCAGGTTGGTGAATTATTTGGAAAGTCAAGTTATAATTGTAGGAAATACTTGAAATGGATTAGGTAATTTGTCTTAATAGAAGATTGAGCTACTTTTTAAAAAGTTTCTGTGCATATGGAAAGAATTTTAATTAGTGATTATAGTACTGTGGTGGAAACCAAAGTCTTAGATATTTCTAAACTTGCCAAAGACATATCTTTGTGGATTTTCTTACTGTGATAATAGCTAACTTAAATTATTTCATTATGAAACTATTGCATGTTACGAACTGAATAAGATTGTTATTAAGTGAATAGAAAGAGCCAATATGTTTATTGGTAAGTGTGGGATGTGCTGAATTACCTCAAGTGTAGCATAAAATTGATTTGTACTTATATCCACTGAAATATAGTTTAGATCTAAAAACAAATAGAAATGATAATGAACTCTTGACCAGTATTTTACTGTCACATCTGTTCTTGCAGAGGTGAACTGATTTTCAAATATGTAGAAATACTGTTATAATTGAAGTCTGAAAGTAGGTTCAAGTCCAGTGTGACAGTGGTGATATATATAATCATGTATCATGTGCATGTACGTACTAATTATTGAACACTTACTGTATGGCAGGCATTGAGTCCAAAGACTAAAAATTTTGTAAGTGAGCAACAAATAGTATGAATTATAAATGTTGTCCCTAGTCTAGTATTTCACTTAAACTAATTTTGTTCATATTCATTGAATTGTCTCACAAAATGAGGACTAGGAAATACTAATCAAATTTTATAGATCTGAAGCTCTTTGGAATTTTATTATAAATCTGTTCATGTATTCTGTACCTCCTGAATTAATATCTGATGGTGAAGCTAAGAACATTGGAATTACTTTAATCTGTTAAAAGATTGTATGATTTGATTTCTTTTTATATATATAGAGAAGCATTGGAAGTGATTCTCAAGGAAGAGCAACAGCTGCTAACAACAAACGTCAGCCTAGTGAAAACCGAAAGCCCTTCAACTTTTTGCCTATGCAGATTAATACTAACAAGAGCAAAGATGCTGTTACAAGTCTTCAAAAGAGAGAAATGATTGGGTCAGCACAATGTAAAGAGTTGTTTGCTTCTGCATTAAGTAATGACCTGTTGCAAAATTACCAAGTCTCTGAAGAAGATGGGAGAGGAGAGCCTGCAATGGAGAGCAGCCAGGTAATAAAATGTATTGTGCTTGTTTTCACAAACCTGAAAAGTATAAACATTAAGATTTTAAGATTATATTAGGTTATACATATAGGAATTTTATTTACATATAAGTAAAGTATTTTCTTGGCCCTCTTCATTAATCTACCAGGTTTATTTAAAATAGATTTTTTAAAAAAATCCCAAATGATTGGAGAAATGGTGTATTCAAATTCATTAAGGTTTCTTTTATTTACCAAATACTGTATTGCTAAATTTTAGTAAGTGGGGATTAAAAGCAATAGATTTTTTTTTTTTTTTGGTACCGGGGATTGAACTCGGGTCCTTCCACTTGCGGGGCAGGCGGCGGAACCGCTGAGCTAAATCCCTGGCCCAAAAGCAATAGATTTTTTTTTTCTCCTTAAATTCTTTTATTAGTGCATTTTAGGTATACAGTATGTTACATTGGGAACTTGATGTTCCCATTACATGACGTATCTTGGTTCTTATTTTTTCCCCATTCCCTGCCCTCCCTTCACCCTCTCCACCCTTCCCTATTTACAAAGACTTTGTTTCCATTTCTCATAATTTTTCCTTTCCCTTCTTTCCTTTTCTCTACCCTTCCTACTACCCCTACGCCTTCGACCTTTTCTTCCTATTTCACATTATCAATTATTCATTTTAATCATTGGTACATTTTAGGTATACAATATAATGACATTCATCATTGGAAATTTGCACCTTTACATAATATCTCTTGGTTCTTATTTTTCCCCCTTCCCCAGCCCTCCCTTCAACCCCTGCATCCCTCCCTATTTACAAAGACTTTGTTTCCAGTTTTCCATTTTCTTATATTAATTCCATTCCCTTTTTTCCTTTCCCCTACACCTGTCACTTCCCCTTCCCCTTTGCCCTTTTTCTTCCTATTTCACATTATCTATTGTACCTTTTAGTCCTTATTTACACTTTCAGTTTCTCACACTAAAGAAACTATTCAGTATTTACACGTGTGTCCTATTTAGTTCACTTAAGAGTATCGCCTCAATGTGCATCCATTTAGCTGTAAATGTCTAATTTCTCATTTTTAATGGCTGAGTAATACGCCATTTTATTAAAAAAGCAATAGATTTTTGTAAGAAATTTTTTAAATGGTGATACTGTTCCTTACGTATTTTCAAAAGTGTAGTACTTTTAATTATAAGGAAATATGTAAATATTAGAAGGAAAATTTATATTAAAATAGTTTGGTATCCAGTTTGTTTTACAAATAAAATTTTTCAGATAATGTGTTAAAGTAATTTTGAAATTTATTTTTAAATTGATTCTAGTTGGAGTTTTTAGGATTGACATTTATATTTTGATTAAAATCTAAGTTTGTTTCAGGTTTTTTGCACGTATGAATCTACACGGTAAACCTAGATGTATTTGGGGTTATTCTTGTTGAAATAAAAATCTGTAAAATTGTTGCTATTTAATTATGCTCAGTTTTACATCTTGTGTACCATCATGTTTAATATTTGTTTCTCCCCTCCCCTCCCTTCCTCCCTTTTTTCCCCTCTTCTTTCCTTTTTTTGTACTAGAGATTGAACCCAGGGCCTGAGCTACTTGCCTAGCCTTTTTTTTTTTTGAAACAAGGCCTTACAAAGTCACTAGGTTGCCCAGGTTGGGCTTCAGTTTGAAGGTGGTCTCCTGCCTCAGCCTCCCAGAGTGCTCAATTTATAGGGGTGCACCACGTATGCCCTCCTCTTAGTTTTCTGTTTTACATTTGCTCTGCAGATTGTAAGCAGGCTTGTTCAAATTCGTGACTATATTACTAAAGCCAGTTCCATGCGAGAAGATCTTGTAGAGAAAAATGAAAGATCTGCTAATGTTGAGCATCTTACTCATCTAATAGATCACCTTAAAGAACAAGAAAAATCATACATGAAATTTCTCCAAAAAATCCTTGTAAGTTTTGGACTTTTTAATAACACATTATTTTTGTAGTATATCTGTAGATACACTGATGACATTCCTAATGGCACCCCAGAGGACATAACATTCTCAAAAATTCGTGCCATCCATTATAACATTTTATTGCCCCTTTTTAATAGTTGTATGATTTATACCACTGAAATATTTCAGGCTAGAGAAAATGAGGAGGATGTTCGGACTATAGATTCAGCTGTGGGATCTGGTTCTGTAGCTGAGAGCACATCGCTAAACATAGATGTGCAGTCTGAGGCTTCAGATACCACGGTAAGCAGCTTTTTGGTAATTAAAGTAATAGAAATGAAGATTTAAACTTTCTTCCCATTTTTCAAAAAGATGATATTTTTTAGGCATTCCGTAATGAAAGTATATTCCAGGGAAGAAACCCTCAAATTGTTAATGCTGTATGTATTTTCAAACATGGAAATTGTGTTTTATTTATTAACATTAAAAAGTTTTAATGATTGAATTGAAAATTTAATAGTTTTTGAACTCAGTTTACAGAAATGTTTTTCTAGTTTTGTCAAACAGCTTTACTAATTTTGAGAAGCATTGGGAAAGTAAAATTCACTGCAACTATTAGGGCCATTAGTAATCATTGATGATACTGGTGATTGCTGAACATAAAGTGTATTAGAGAAATCTATTCATTTGCCACTGAAGACTCATTTTAAAGGTACTGGGATTTTCATTTCTCAGGCTATAGTCTCACACTGTAGCAAAACCAAATGATTGAAAAATGAGATAAAGACTAGTAAATAGTACAGGATACCATTTACATTTGTATTTGCAGTGAGAAAAATTCTGAGATTTCTAATTGCAAAATGAAATTTATGAAAATAATATCCTTTGGGAAAATAATTTCAGAATTTTTGATGAGATTTATAAAATAAACAGCTTATAGAAGTTAGTGTACTTCAAAGCTAGTATGCTTTTAACCATCTTTATTTTAAGAAGTGTAACCATAACCATGCATTTGCATTAGTCAACTTTAAAACTTATTACCAAAAAGGCTTTTCTTTTTAAAGGATAACCGTGTATGTCACTTTGTTTTTTGAAGGTTGTTATTAATAATACTGTTCAGTATTAGGAACTTGAGGGTTTGTTTCCTTTTAGTATTGACCTGTATAGTTTATCTGCCTCCTTTTGCTTCCATGACCCTTCTAGTTTGAAGAGATAATTTGAATTTTTTTTTTCTCTACCTTATTTTCACCAGGAAATACTCAGAGGGCTTGATCCATACAGTTGTTGAAGAGTGGATTCTACTGTGGGGGAACTTGTCTTTTTAGTTACAGTGGTGTTGAGAATAATTTATTCCTTATATATCAGCAAAAATGAAAGGGTTAGGGCAATGTGGGTAAAGGAATTTGTTGGGAAGGGGTGGGAAATGGTCTAGCTGATTATTATAACTTACACACTAGTATCTAAAGTGTTCGCCATGATGAAAATTTTTCATAATAACATAAAATCATTATGGAAATTTATTATTAGTATGTAGCAGAATAAATGTTAAAATATACATTAGCCATTTTATATAGCTTGGAAGTTACCTTGAATATGATACTTAATAAGCAACAATTTATCCTATAGAAATTTAAAAGTCTGATTTTGCTGCCACTTGGGGTGGGAGTGGATTAACTTTTTTTTTAAGAAGGAGGGATTGGGAAAGTTTTGTGTTTATTAAAAGACTGGCTTATATGTTAAACAGGAGTTTTGTTAAGAAATTAATGTGCTACACTATTTAATAAAGGAGGCATCTTTTAGACTGAGAATTCGGCCGTACATTGAGGACAAACTAGGGAATTCAGCCTCACAAGAACAGGTTTCAGACATTGACGTTACTACAAGTCCAAAAGGGAAAGGTGACAGACCTCCTCAGAATGACAGGGAACTGAGGCCTAATAGAAAATATAGCCGAAAACGTGGATTTCCCTCAAAGGTATACTTCATAATATTAACTTGGGAAGTCTAAATGACCATTTCTTTTGTTCATCTTTCCTATTTCTTATTTGCTTTTTTGTTGTTATAGCTATCACTCTAAATATATAAATTATTAACGTGGTTAATTACTATATTGAAATTTGCTTTAGTAAAATCCTGTCCCTTACTGTTTTTGTTTCTTTCTGCTTTATGGATTATATGTTGCAGCTTATTTTAATTTACTTTAAAAACAAAGGATGTGAAAGATAATTTAACAGAGGACTTGAAACATAATTTCATTCCTTTTTTGCTGTCAAACTGTATAACACATTCTGAAGTCTGGACCATCAGTCAGTTGCCTTTTGTTTCTGATATTAGTGTGCATGCATTAAAATAAAACTTTTTACTCTTGTTTCTTATGTTCAGTAAAACTCCACTAATTTAAAAAATTGTTGGGAATTCACTGTTGGGTTTGTGAAAAATCTGAACACGATTATACTTATTTTAAAGAAAAAATAGAGCAAGGTATTAGCTTTCCTATCTTTGTAAGAATGAAATATTTTTATACTTTTTTTTTGGTCTTTTTTTTTTGGCTTATGTTTTTGTTGCTGTTGAAAACCTTTTCCTTTTTTTTTTTTTTAGAAAAATAATTATCCAGTTGGCGTGTTTGAATTTTTTTTGCTGGATTCCTTCAGTGTTTGTCCTTTCTTTTAATTTTTCATGACTATGTATAAAGGCATTCAAGATAAATTGAAAGAACTATTTGTGTACTTCTGTTTATAACAGTTTGGATAAAATAGTTTTTGTGAAAGTGTTTAGATCCTGTTGGCAAGAATGAGGTACTATTTTAACAGTTGAGTATAGATAGGAATCTATAGCTCATGTTTTATTATGAGTTTATGATCTGGAATTGATCATTCTTTTGTATTTTGTCGAAATTTTATATTTTCTTTTTGTGACTGTTGAAAAATGACTAAACCTCTAGATATTTTGGGAGTTTGTGTTTTTGGTTTTTTTCTGGCTTGCACAAGAAATTGAGGACACATTCTAAAATCTTTTTTGAGGATCTTATTATATAGTATTAAGCAGAAGGTACCCCAGTTCAATAGAAAAACAAAATAGCTGGTTATTTTTAAAAGCTAGTAGCCTTGGAGGGGAGAAAGTGAACATGAAGTATAATAGGTATCTTCTGAAATTTTTCGTCTCTTTAATCCTTCTAAATAGTGACAAAACTTACAGAGTTGACAGTACAGCATAATTTTTGCCAGATCTACTTGTTTCCTAATATGTTATATTTGCTTAAAAAATCCTTTTCTTTTTTTAGTTTCCTTTAAAACGTATCCTTAGAAATGAATATTATTCTTTCTTGAAATTGTTGACGTTTATTACAATCTAGCTCTCTTCATTGATTTTTTTAGAACATCACAATGTAATTTTATTAGTAGTCAATTCATAAAACCATTTGAAGTTGTTAGGAAAAAACCTTGATTCCCACCACTGGCCTTTTTTTTTCTGCTATACAAAATCTGTAATTCTCATCACCCTTTCCCCATTCCCTCCTTAGAATCCTGTCAAAATAAAAGAAGTTGAGGTCTTAGATGTTTTCAGAGCTGACAACAGCCTTGCTATTTGCAGCTTGATAAGAAGAGGTTGATATTCTCACACTTCCTATAAAGGCAGATTCCACTTGATGGAATATTTTATAGATGTAATGACATTTTGTGTAATTTTACAAAAGAAGTCTTCAACAAGTACTCATGCTTTTTTTTTTTTTTTTGCTATTAGTTTAATCATTTCTAATTATTTTATGTGAACTAGCCTTGTCTCTAACCAGCTATGCTTCTTTAGAGATGGTGTCCTGTATTTTTGTATTTAGAACCCAAGCACATAATTTTGGGGCAGACAGTATATTTTAAAGAGTACTAAACAGGAGATTAGGAACCTGAATTTGCCTGTAACGCTGGATAAATTATAGCTTTACTTCTTTGGGATTGTATCTTCATCTTCTCATCTTTCACAAAAAATTTGGAGTACATATTGTCTTTAACTGTAGATATTGTAGAAGTATGTTTGGATCTATGAATAATTACTGGGGAACCCCAGTTTCAGAGGAAAGGAAGATGTAAGGTTTCCTAAAATTTGATTATTTTATATATATGCAACTTGCGATTTTGAGCCTAACTTACTTTTTTTTAAATCTGCAAACTAAAAATGTAGTTGGTTATGGTGACCCAAAAATGTTTTAAAGTGTTTGAAGGATGGGTGTACTCCTGGCTTCTTTTTTGGATCTCTGTTCCAAATAGCATCTTGTGGCCATCTTATTTCTAGATATTTTTATTTCCATTTTCTCACCTTCCCTTCCTTTGTATTTGATCATAGTCCTTACCTTCTCCCTTGGCTTAGCTTTTCTAAGTATTAGTCTGAAATGCTATTTATATGGATGTAAAAGTTACTAAGAAGCAGTAAAACTCCACTAATTTAAAAATTGTTGGGAATTCACTGTTCGGTTTGTGAAAAATCTGAACAAGATTTATTTTAACAAATAAATAGCATTCTCTGTAATTAGGGTGTCATACTTTTGCAAATAAATGCTGTTAACGATTAAAGATTTTTTAAAGTTTGCTTTTTAAAGGGCAAAATATTTGTAATAAGTTGTTGAGTAAACTTTGAAAAACTACATAGCTTGAATATTACCTAGAGTCTAAACTATTTTGAGGAGGTGAGAGGATTACAGATTAGGTGGAAATAAGCATTCTTTAGTTGTCTTATTTGCAGATGATTTTTATTTGCAGTATAAATTATCACTTACACTTTCCCAAAGGTGTAGGCATATGTGTTGATTGCTATCAGCCTGGAGACATTTCTCTGAGTTGGTCCTTTGAGCAACTGTGCCTATTTTGATCTGGTTTTACATTTTACCAATGACTTTCATGAAATTATTACAAGATTATTTTTCATCAAATTTGAGAGGGTTAGATATTAATAGTTATCCCTACCTCTTCAGTTTTTTTCCAAGATGTAAACAGTCTTGAAATAAGCCAGAACTGAAAAGTTGAATTTGGACAGGGATAGATAGAGATATAGGTGATAATAAGATAACTCTACTTGTATAGTTAACTCTACTTGTGTAGGGTGGAAGAAAACTGAATAAACAGTAGTAGCTTGAATAGGTTTCAGCTTATTAAAAATTTATGACAACAGAGAAACCTTCAGCATATAGTTTATTAGCCAAGGTAGTAGGTTATTTTTTTGTCATGTTCATGAAGTCTAGAGATAGTCCAGGATATGTAGATAAGGCCCTGGCTCGAATTTACATCACATACTCTTAGCATAATCTTCCTATTTCATTTTAACTTTCAGTACTTAACTCTGTGCATGTGATTTTTTTGTTCACTTACTAACTTTTTAATTTTCAAGTCACAGTGTAAAATGTTGTCATGCTTACACACAGTACAGGGAAAGTAGATCAGTGCATTTTTATTTCGAAGGAAATCATTGAACTTTTTTTACTCTCCTTAGTAATTTTGGGCAGGAATCATTCACTGAAAATTTATATAACTGCAATGAAAAAGTTACCAGTGAAAATTTAAAATTGATTTAAGTAGAACAAAGGAGAGTATTTTATGTATTGAATAATTTTTTTGTGTGTGGCCTTGCAAATGCCAGGCAGGCATTTTACCACTGTCATACCCATAGACCTTAAATTAAAAAAATCTTGGGTCGGGGATTTAGCTCAGTGGTTCCTCTGCCTGTCCCACAAGCGCAAGGACCTGAGTTTGAACTCCGGTACCAAAAAAAAATTTTTTTTAAATGGTATATCAGTTCTGAAAATATTTCATGCATAATTTAGCTTGTAATTTATTGTTTTCAAGTTGTGTTTAAATTTGTGTCTTGAGTTGACTTCTTTTTTCTTGTTGAATGACATTTAGAATAGTTTTAAAATACACATTTAAAATTTGAGCATTTCTTGTAAGTGATGACTTTAATCTGTTACTTCTAGACAGGGTAATAACTTCCTAGTATCTTGAGGGAATTTGAAAATATTTACTTCTATTTTGTGTCCTCACACTCAGCTGGATCCACATAATTGAGGAGTAAAAATAGTAATGACATTTATGGTAAAAAGTATAAAATTTTCATCATTGTTACATACATAGTAGTATATAAAAGTTTTTTATATAATGCCAAATGTTAAAATGCATTTTTAAAATTTTTATTCTTGGCTAGAAGTTGAAGGGTTTATTTGATTTCTGGGATTTTTGCTTGTTTTGTTGTGTTTTTGTGTTTTTAACATCACTTTAAGGAATGAGGTCGAAAGTTTCTTAGTTTGATCTTTTAATGAGACTTTCAAGGTATTCACCCAGTATAATCTGCTCCTGCTTTTCTGTAGGGCCTGGATTTTCTATAGGGCCTCATATTTTTCTGTGTATTCGTGTGAAGCTCCTTTTGTTCTGTTAGACTTACCTTCCATTTTGTATATCTTTTTTCTTTTTTAAGTTCTTCATTTTAAGCCATTGCTTATGATCTTTTACTGTGAAATGACCTAACTTAATGTGGCAAGCTATCTCTGTGTCATTCTATTCTTTTTCTTCAAATCTACTAAAATTCTGTCTAAGGTTGTATATTTAATACTAGTTTATTATCTGTGTATGTACTTTTTGTTGGTAGTTAAAACAGGAACATGGATTTTAATAATCAGATATAAGTATTACTGGTCTTACTTTTCAGGGCAGAGATCCTGAACAGGAGCCTATGGAAGAGATAGAAAATTTGAAGAAACAACATGATTTGTTAAAAAGGATGTTACAACAACAGGAGCAACTTCGAGCTCTGCAGGGGCGACAGGCTGCTCTTCTAGCTCTGCAGCATAAAGCAGAGCAAGCTGTTGCTGTAATGGATGATTCTGGTATGTCACACTCTGAAAATATTTTTATGGGCAGGGCTCAAGTCATTATATTGCAAGGTGGATGCTGTTATTATATAATCATATCATGATTCTGACTAGTTTAGAAACCTGCATATGAGGCTTACCATGTCCTTTGCTTTTCTCTGGTTATGCAGAAAGATTGCAGGGATAAACCACTGGCCATCATATTGTACTGAGCAGACAGACAGCTTGCCCTCTTTTCTAGTACAGTGTACCCTAACGAAGTAAAAGGGACAGGTTGTAGTTCTGTTTTTGAGCCTTAGACTGATAGGGCTCTTGATACTGTATTACCATTTTTTTGTGTTTTATTCAACTAGGATTTTCTTTGCTTGCTTCCCAAGAAAGGGTTAAGAACCTTAACTGAGGCCATAACTTTAGAGAGCATCTTTAGCATTCAGTGTTAGTTGTAGCTCTTGCTATCTGAATTAGGTATCCAATTTTATGTATTAGTACTTTTGAGCTATAGTATATTTTTTTCAGTTTTTCTGAGATTCAGAAATGGTCATTTCTTATTTTCTTCTTTCCCTCATAGCTATGTATTATTTAGGTGAAAAATGGTTGAATTGTTTAGTTTTGGGCCTTATTTTATAGAATATCTCATCTTCAGCCTATGTTTTAATTTTTAATTATGTTAAAAATAAGATTACTACTTATTAAAACTCAAGGCTTTTTTTTAATTTTTAACAGACAAAAAATAATTGTGTATATTTATGGTACAAAATGATAGGAGTTTATGACACACCCTTCCAGCAGCTATGTTTTAATTTATGTTTTCTAATAGTCTGTTGCTGTCTTAGATTCTACTAATAATTTATCTACTTGTGATCAGCATGGGAGTTTTGACCTGCTCCATTTCAGACCTGGGCCAGTTCACCCTTGTCTAAGCCTACTGGCTCAGCTGTCTGATCACTGATAAAGCTTCTTTAATTTTATAGTTTCATAAGCAATTTTATGACCTTCAGGTAACTTACTCTTTTGAAATATGATAGAGTTAGATATACTAATAATTACTGGGTTTTGTCATCATTTTTTCCATATATAATCTAAAGAACCATTAGAAGTTATTTTTAGGAAATAGGTAATTAAGGAAAAATAATGAAAATATTTTAACATAAAGACTAATATCAGTTTGATAAGGACTAACCATTTAAACATTTTCCAGCTTCAATTATTAGATTTTAAAGACTTTCCTTTAGTAATTATATTAATCTCAAATGTGTACATTTATATCATCATGTGATCAACATAGAATTGTAGGTTAGTATGGAAAGACTTTATTCTTACTCCTGTATTATAGAGAAGAAATTCAGTTTCCGACTTGCCTAGGTTTGTATAGAATTTTGGTAGAATTGGAGCTCTTGAATTCTAGGTCAGGGGTCTTTGAAATTCTAACTGAACTTTACAAAAAGTAAATAATCTCTTTTTTAAAAATATGCTATGATGGATCGGGAATAAAAGAATAGGACTTTGAATTTGAATTCTGTATATTACAGAAATAATTTTGGCTTAATAATTTTAAAACAGTTACTCTTTATAGAGATTTTGTAGGAGAATATTGATGAAAAGTCAGGATCATAGTGTTTATTCTGGTGCATAAGGGAGAGACGTAATTGTCATGGGAAAGAGCATTTCACCATTTGCAGAGTTGCATATTAGTTATCTGTACTCTCAATTTCTTTCTTTTCCATGTAGAATTTGGATTAGATCCATAGGATTCTGTCAGCTCTTTTTTCAGCAGGAAAAGATAATATTTTTCTTAAAATGGAAGCAGTTTATAGCCTGTATTTCTTTTAGAACTAGAGAGTTAGAAGTGATAAGGATGAGATGGTTGGGCAGTAGCGCAGTAGCTTATCAAAATTGTCATCAGAAAACTGCTTTAGAAATAGGAGGCCTTTTTTTTTCTTAGTGAAGAAGATAAAATCCATGGTCTCTTAGTATGACTTATATGCAGTTATTTCAGTAAATTATCTGCTGTACTGCAGGGGTAGCAAACTATAGATTCAGCCCACTGCCTGAAACAAAGTTGTATAGTATATAGCTATTTCCATTTGTTTGCATATTTTTTAAAATTTTAACTTTATTGGTACAATTTAGATAAACATAATGATCACATTCATCATCATAGGGAATTTGTACATGTACGTGATGTATCTTGATTCCTCTTTTTTTCTATTCCCCTCCCCTCCCTTAATCCCTCTTCCCCTCTTCCGTTCATCTAACACAGAAGCCCCACTTCCATTTTTTCCTTCTTTTCTCCTCCCCCTGCCCCGTAGTTCCCTCTTCCTTTTGAACAATTATTTTCTTAATTCACTTTGTCTGTTACACATTTTGGTCCCTAGAAGTAGGCAGCAAAAACAATTTTGCTGTACACTGTGAAATGGTGTTTACGTATTGTTGATGGTTGCTTTTGGCAGAGTTGGCTTCTTTTGGCAGGGTTGGGTAGTTGAGACAAAACTATGTTTCCCAGAAAGCCTAACCTGTTTATTGTCTGAACCTTTAAGCAAACTTTGCTAGCTTCTGTTATATAGTATTGATTTTATTGGAGGAGCTGGAAATTAAGATGTGAGAATCAGCTGCTCCTTTTCAGCCTGTCACTTTGCACAACCTCAACCAAAACAGACTAATAGACCTGCTTTACACCCAATCCGATCAGTCATGATTATTAATTGAGATGAATACTATTCCCTCTTGTATGCTGGAATAGAAAAAGAAGAACCGCTCTACTAGAGTTTTGCAGTTGTCTTTTTTTTTAGGATAGATAGAAATTTCTAATAAAATTATTTAGTAGCTGAGGGTTAGTTTCTTTTTTTAAATTTTTATTTGTATTAGTGCATGTTTGTAGTACATAATGATTACATTCATTTTGTAGAGCTGGTACAAGGTTAACTAGTTTCAAATTATGTTAGATGAGTTTTATTGTCAAGCTTCTCAGAAACTAAAAAAGCATTTTATTTATATTAATGAATAATTGTGAATTTTCTTTCCAGTTGTTGCAGAAACTACAGGTAGTTTATCAGGAGTCAGTATCACATCTGAACTAAATGAAGAATTGAATGATTTAATTCAGCGTTTTCATAATCAACTTCGTGATTCTCAGGTAACTTAATTTTTTTAGTATGGTTGAGTTTATAGCTGCATTAACTAAATGGTGGTCCTCAAAACATGATTGAGCATGACTATCATCTACAGAATGGTTGAAGGTTGGTCAGTGCAATGACCCCCTTCCTCCGTCATGGTCATGAGGCCTGGTGGGCTCCATAGCACATGTTAGAGGAGATTTACTTTGAAATTATTAGCAGAATTTCCCTTTTGTATGCTACCAAATAATATGTTCTTTTTTCCTCTAGGAAACTGAATAGTCATAACCTTTTCTTTTTTTTTTTTGGTGGTACCGGGGATCAAACTCGGGACCCTGTGCTTGTAAGCCGGGTAGCGGCACCACTGAGCTACATCCCCGGCCCAATAGTCATAACTTTTAAGACTTACATTAAGCCTGTGTCTTTGCAATATTTTACAGTAGTTTTACCAACAATTTTATGAAAGTGCTTCTTTGAGAGTTAATAAGTTTTAATTTCATGCACTTTGTAAATAATGATATAAATGCAAATTTATAATATGTGAGCTTTGGATAAGGAAGGGTAAATTAATACTTCTCCATTGGAAATTAATGTGCTTGAAGATGCAGTGTCTTATGTCTTCTTTCTGACCAAGTGAAAATAAAAGAATATGATATTAGATGTCTACAAGGAGATAGGTATGCGAATGCTTTCGGCACTGTTGTGTTAGTAGCAAAAGCAAAAAACCAGAAATAAATAATACATTTTTTTTCATTTCATGAAGGAAAATTAATTAATTATGATACGTAGAGTGAAATTCCATATAGCAGTTACTATAGTAAATGAACCAGAGTTAATGAATGAAAACGGCTAAGTTTAAGAGGGATACTTAGGCCTACGGATGTAGCTCAGGGGGAGAGTGCTTGCCTCACATTCATGAGGCCCTGGATTGAATTTCCAGTACCACAAAAATGAATAAATAAAAAGATGCTGCTTACTTTTAAAAATACATATAATTTTTATGGATATATAAACATGTTACTAAGTAAATATATGTACAAAAATGAGAGATGATCTAATTTCAGATTTTGATTACTTCTATAGAGGATAATGGGATTTGGGAAGGATTTGTACAGACGTTTAGCTATCTCTCTAATGTTATATTTTCTTTAAAAAAATGAATAAATACAAATGTGGGAAATTGTTAAAATTTGAAAAAGCTCAGTGGTAGATATTCATTATATGATTTCCTGAGCCCTAGTGCATTCTTGAACTATTTCATAATTCCTTTTTTAAAGTGGTAGAATAGCTGGGCAGAGTGGTGCATGCCTGTAATCTCAGCATTCAGGAGGCTGAGGCAGGTGGACCACTGTGAGTTTGAAGCCAGCCTGGGCTGATAATGAGTTCAAGCACAGCTACATAGTGAGACCCTGTCTCAAAAAAAAAAAAAAAAAAAGGAGAGGAACATATACAGGGCTAGAAGTTAAAGTTTATGGTTCTAAAAAGATAATGAGAGAATTTGGGTATGGTGCTGCATACCAGTAATCCAGCACTCTGGGAGTCTGAGGCATTAGGATCTCAAGTTTGATCCCAGTCTCAGCAATTTAGTGAGACCCTGTTAAAATATAAAGGACATCTATTTATCTATCAATGCAACCTAGGCAAAATGTCTCTTATAGAGAATATTTATACTGGCGCCCAGGAGGAGGCTCTCTTGCTGCCATTCCACTGCTCCTAGGGCAGAGGAGGTGAGCCAATCCCAGCACCCAGGAGGAGGCTCCCCGCCATCATTCCACCTCTCCTAGGGCAGAGGAAGTGAGCCAATCCCAGTGCCCAGGAAGGTGCCCCTCCCCCATAGAAATGAGAAGACAAGTAAACAGGCCTCAAAAACAGACTTCCAGATCACCTACAACAACCCCAAAGGGAAACGAGATGGAACAATCTGATACTCAACCACCCGGAATCCCCCTGAACTGGCAACAAAAGAGAATCTGGAAAAAATGAAATCAGAAATAATTTCCCAGATAACAGCAAAGATTGTGCCCATAGTGTAAGACATGATTAATAAATCTAGACAGGACACAGATAAAAAATAGAGGATC